GTTGAACTGTTTGAGTTAGAGGAAGTTCAAATTAGAAGTAGTAATAAAAATTATGTATTTAAAATTATCTACATTATTAAAATAAATATAAGTTACATATTTATACATACATACATGGTGGGCCAATGTAAAGATTTTACTTTTGTTTTCTTAGTTGTATAAGTTTGAGTATTAATATTTTTAAAATCAAGGCATCTTTTACTCAAATCAATAAATGTTTCAGGAGCAAAAAAAACCTGTGGGCGAAAGAGCATTTAAGTTAAAATTGAAAAAAAAAAGTTGAGTTAAAATGCTTGACAGCTGTCAGATGTCACATTAAATGTCAAATAAACTTTGCTTTAAATTTCTTGCGGTAGTTAAATAAAATATTGTGTGCGATTTTTGGTCAAAAGAAGAGATTCCAATCGCGTGATACACGCTCGAGGAACCTTCTCGTTCTCCCACTAATTGCGCGTATAATGATTTTCATATTATAACACATAAGTTTATATGAAAATACTTACTTCACTACTACTAGTTCAAACGTCAAATTATTATAAAATTCCGATCAAAAACAAAGCTAAAATATCATCATGTTAATATTATCGTTTATTATTGTAAAACTGTGCGGTAAAAGTTAATACAAATTTGTATAGTATTTATAGAGGCATAAGTGCATATGACAAAAAAAATCATTAATTTTTTAATGTCACGTTAGAAGATATGCATTAATTAAGGACTGTATGGGAGATGTATTTAATTAACGCATATCTTATAACATGTAACCTGTAGAATTGGCATATAAAGTTTTGTCAACATTTAACAGAGTTTAGCTACTTTATTAATTTCAATCTTTTTAAAACTTTATAAAAGGTAAGTAAACTCCACTACAATCTAATTTTTTTTCATATCGAGCCCCAACCTCCTTAAATGCTAAATAAAGTTTTGTCAATATTTAACAGAGTTTAGCAACTTTAATCATTTCAATCTTTTTAAAACTTTATAAAAGGTAAGTAGACTCCACTACAACCTAAAATTTTTTCATATCGAGCCTCAACCTCCTTAAATGCTTAAAAAACATAGTATATAAATGATCGGCTATAATATGTGCTTTCTCCGCCTGGTCTATAATGTACTATTTCGAATGATAACATTATTTTGAAAGGAAAAATAAAAAATTTCAAAAATGTTATCTAAAGAAAGAATCTACTGATTTCTTTATTGTTCCTCAAAATTAAATATGATTGTGCGCTAGAGTAAAAATCATAATATGCCTTTCTATATTAATATGATTTTTACCCTAGCGCACAATCATATTTAATAGTTTAATTTTAGTGATTTAAACCTCACCACCTTTAAATATTATTTATAGGTGGTGAGGTTTAAATCACCAAAATTAAACTTTAACGACAAATACAATTCAAACAATACCTCGCGCGCGGAATTGTGCTCAAGCCCTGATTAAAAGCAACATATATTATATTATAGAGAAAATTGTATAAAAATATATTGGGTTTTATCAATGCCTGAGCACAATTCCGCGCACGTCAATGATAAAACCTAATACCGTACCTTCATTTGCAAGTTATACATAGGGAAAATACATTGTAGTTGGAACAGACAAGTCGAAGTCGGCGCGGTCAGCGCGAAACGAAAATGTCCCCAGAAATTATTTTGACGAGTGGATGAGTAGACTAACATGCGACGTAACAGGTGACCTTGTTTACTGGCGATTAAAATTTTATTACGTCCAAATAATTTCTGAGAACTTTTTCGCTTTGCGCTGACTTCAAATTGTCTGGTCTACCTACAATGTATTTTTCCTATGTATAGCTTGCAAATGAAGGTACGGTATATAAATATTATGTAATAGGAAATTTTATGTTTTGTTACGCTCAATGGCCGTATGAAAGTAAAATTTTGGGCTTGGGAAATATCCGTTGCTTAATAATAGTTTTGATATACAGTGTGGAACTCACTTATGAAATAAAATTCGTTATTCGTTGAGAAAAGATTTTTATGAAAAACGCTCGGACACGTAAATTTTAGTTTTTTATTCCAAATCTTATAATGATAATTTTAAATTGGATGCCCCCACATTTCCCCCCCCGCACATTAGGCACCCTTATCTTAAATAACAACCCCACTTTTTTTCATCGAAAATTGAGTAGGGTTTAGTAACCATAATTTTCAATACAGGGTGAATATTTAAAAATTACAAGTTATAATTTTTTATTGTTATTCTATGATTTAGTTTCTTGTGTTGTGGCTTTCGCTATTTAGATATTCATGTTTTTTCGCTTTGTTATTGTTTTTTGTTAATGCAATTTTTTGCGTTTGTCCTTTTTGCATTGTTTAAATTTTTATTATTAATGAAACATTTGGCGCTTTACTTATTGAAGTATTTTGTTAGATCCCAGTATCAGTAAATATTTTAGTTAAAAAATGCGACACTTGACAGAAACTCTGCGAATAGAAATATTAATTATGATTGTTTACGGTGATATGTGAAGATCACAACCGCAAGTTGCAAACCTTTTTAATGGAAAATACCCAGATTTACGACTACTTTCTCAGGCAACTGTGTCTAAAATACATGCACAATTTCGTGAATATGGACATGTTAAACCATTACGCAGGACGCCTCATTTTATTGATGAAAATGTGAAAGTTAATATTTTATTAGCTTTTCAAGAAGATCCAACAACTTCTACTCGTCAGGTTGCACGTAAAAACGACGTTAGTGATTCGACCGTTTTAAGATGTGTAAAAGCCGAAAAAATGCATCCCTATAAACTACAACACGTACAAGAATTGATTGATGGTGATTCTGATAGAAGATTACAATTTTGCGAGCAAATGCTGCATATGTTAAACAGGAATGTTATTTCTTCTGCAGATATTCTTTTTTCTGATGAATCAACATTTCTATTAAATGGCGAGGTAAATAGACAAAATTGCAGATACTGGGCAAAAGAAAATCCCCACTGGATGCGACAAACTCATACCCAACGTCCTCAGAAAATCAACGTTTGGGCTGGTATTGTTGGTGATCATGTGGTAGGACCTATTTTCATTGAAAATCTTAACGGGGCAAGATATCTGGATATGCTAAGAGAACAAGTTGTCCCAACTTAGGCAGAGTTGTTTCCAAATCCATTGGAACCTAATCTTCCCAATGAAAGGATATGGCTTCAACAAGACGGTGCCCCACCCCACTATGTTCTTCCTGTACGGAATTATTTAAATAACACCTTTCCACACAGGTGGATCGGAAGAAGAGGTTTTATAGAATGACCAGCAAGATCACCGGATCTAACACCTTTAGACTTTTTTCTATGGGGATATCTAAAAAACAGGGTGTTTAAAACACAACCTGCTAATTTAGATGAATTAAGAAACATAATTACTGGAGAAATTAGGAACATAACACCGGAGGTTTTAAACAGAGTGTGGGAACAATTTCACAATAGATTAATAAAGTATCAGGAAGTGGACGGGGTACATTTTATTTTAAAATAAAAGTTTATTTTTTTAATTTGTCATTATATTTCCACCCTGTATTGAAAACTGTTTACTAAACCCTACTTATATGGTATCGTCATACTCAAAAAAATGTGCACTATCAATTTTAGATGAAAAAAAGTGGGGTTGTTATTTAAGATAAGGGTGCCTAATGTGCGGGGGGGAAAATGGTGAGGGCAAAAAATTTAAAATTATCATTATAAGATTTGGAATAAAAACCAAAGTTTACGTGTACGAGCGTTTTTCATAAAAATCTTTTCTCAACGAATAACGAATTTTATTCCATAAGTGAGTTCCACACTGTATAACCCTTGAGCCAGTGGTAACTGGTCAGGTATGGCAGTACCATCTAAATTCAGGAAGAAAGAGATTTTCCCTCGCTTGATTTCAGGGCGCCCCCCTCCACTAAGCAAACTACCTGCAGCTGGCACATCCAAGTTTTAACAAGCACCATCCGCCACTGCCTACATCAATTAACAAGTACTGGAGCTTCTGTGAAGTAGGATAATGTCAGTGGATTACGCGTAAATATTTGTGAAACTAAAGTTTCACTTACGTGATTTTTTCCCCACCTGGATGGATAATATTCGCCTACTTAAAATAAATAAAGTAATTTGTTTAGAGGACGAAAGCATTATAGACCGGTCGAATCAGTTTTGTAATTAATAGTAAATACATTTGTATCGGGGTAAATAATTGTTTAATTTATTGATTTAATAGTTTTGGATAATTCACCGTACAAAGCTAGGCATTGCATAATGTATGAGTGCAAACATTGCATTGGCAACTGATATACGTGCCCACGTTTGCCAATATTTTAGTTGGCTTATACATATTCAAAAGGTGATAAATACGTTGTTTATTTTATTAAGGATCTCATGAACAATTAATTACTATTTATAGCCGTTAATTTCTATCAGCAATAATTAGCTAAATTATTTAATTTGTTGTTATTATTACTCGCTTTACATTAGCTTCCAACTATGTCGACACATCTAGAAAGTCGATTTAAACCTACTTTTACCTAACCGATTGTAGCTCAAATTTTGTACACACTTTTGGTGCTGGTGACTTTACAATACAGTATACTTAATATTGTATTTTTGGCGAATATAGAAACTTCTTCTACAACTTTGGCTAAAAATATGTTTAGTTTCTTTTGTCGCTTTATATCTTTTTCGCAGTCTTGTACCTTAAACGATCTTTTTTCCCTTTTTCAAAATCCTCAAAATTTGAATTGTTTCGTGTTCCATTCAAAAGGCTAATCAATGAATCATAAAGCTCAACAACAGTAAATATATTTATATATATCTTCACTTTGCAATTTCTTATTGTTGGCATTCAGACGATTCAGCACAAAACCCCATAAAACTCTAAATGCCGTTTTCAATCGCTTAAGCTTAAGGACCGTGTTAAATGAATTTGTTTTTAAATAATTGTTTAGCATTGAGTAGAGGCCATAAATACACTGTAGAGAGAATTGAAAAAAAAACAAAATGTTTCGTAAGAAACTGCAATGAGTTAGCTACATATTCCGAGTACGTTGTTTAAATTTGTGTTTGCACCCCCGATATATTTCGTAAAATTTACCATTGCAGTTAAAAATATTAACTTTATATTTAAATTCCAATAACTTTGTTAAAAATTATCAGATCTTATTGATTTAAAAACCAAGTAAAAGCCTAACAAGCCCTTAGTAAACTCTTTTAGAAAATGTTTGTTTAGTTATTTCAGAATAATTTTTTTTAATTTTGAAACTTGTGAAACACACATTTTCGCATATCCCATAAGCGTTTTATAAAACTTTTTTTTAAATATTGAATAACCAGAACTTTGTGTTGCTTTATAGCAGTTCATAACATCCTTAGTTAATACAGTAAACAATTTATATATAAATTAATTAATTTTAATATACTTTTTTTAAATTTGTCTCATGTCCCAGACATTTTTTCCGTTGCGTTACGTCCGTCGCGTTACCGATAGAATATTAAAAAAAACATATATATGGCAACTTTTTTGGCACTCACGTGATCAACAAATGATGTTCGGACGTAAACATTACCTATCTGAATTTATTTATTCAATCAGAAAGAATATATCAGTGGAAACAGGTGCGGGTAACGCGAATGTAATAATTGTTTGTTCGCTAAGTTACGCAAAAAAAATAATAAAAATACTATTTTTCATGTTTATGTTTATTTTAGGGCACTAAAGCTCATTGAGAGTAATTAATGTAATGTCTTATTATTATTTTTTATAAAATAAATAAAATATGGTTTTACAAATCTTTTTCCACTGCTTTACCGAGTCCATTATGTTACCTTATGGTAACGCAATGGAATTTAGGGTAACGCAATAGAATTTTTCAACAACAAAGTGGATATTTACCGTCTCTTTTATTAAAAGTAGTTTATGATAAACCAATTTAAAATTATTTGTGATTACAACTCATGATATAGATTACATCCAAGGGAAAATTTCACGCAATATACAAGTACTAAAAGGGACGCAAGACCTTCACCAGCTTATAGTCAAAGACAAATTGTGTCTACATTTAGAAATCTAAGTTGTTATTGTGCAAGTGAGCACCACTACAAGGGATTTTGTTTATGCATTACTCTAAAATCGTACCACCCTATATAGTTTCTTTTTTACGTTATCTGATTAAGTCCTTTGTGTACCCCAGTCCGTTGTGATACCAATGTCTATTTCGTTACTATTTTAGGTTTTATTAAAAAAAATACTTAAAATGATTTTTATACACCATCACTTGGTGTTTATAAATTGGAGTTTAACTCACTAATACAGTGACTAAAAGAAAATATTGATGGTATTATTTTTTAACAAAGGAATGGTTTCTTTTAAAAAGTAACTTAACGAACATAAATATTTAAAAGAAGGCATACAATTTTTAATAAAAAATGAAATAAAAAATTGGAGTCAAAAGTTTGTGAACTTTTTTTTTATTGAATTAAATTTTTAATTTCGAATTGGTAACACAGTGGAGATATGTATATTAAGCTAGCTAAACACATTTTTATGAAAATGTAAGTAAACAAAACTCTAAACATTTATAAAAATCCAACCAAAAGTCAATTTAAGCAAAAAAAATTGATCTTTATTTTCGGGTGTTTCTTGAAAATGACCCATTTAGTCAAAGTGGCTTCAATATATATCGAGTGTTAACTTGCCTATAAATACATAATTATTTCAAGTTTGATAAAAGTCATTTTAGTCACGAATTTTAATTAGGCACGAGCGAGCTTGAGAGTATTAAATTAAATGGATGTCTAGAAAAGTTTATAAACGAGTTGCCTACGATACTTTTTCTACGACAAATACTTATTATTTAAAAATGATTGAATTAAATATTTGGATAGAGCAACATATAATAAATAATTCCATCTTAATTTGACATAAATGTATTAAAATAAAACATTCATATTTTACTTTAACATTAAAAGTTCATTAAACTATTTATAGTCGATCTGTTAAACAAGTAAGTACTAAGCGTGTATTTAATACTTTGGGGACAACTTAAAATAACTTATAAGTAACTTCGTAAGTGATTAAGTAAATTTAAATAACTATTTAAGTAGCTTATTAGTAAACCTTGTTAAAGTATCTACATCACATACTAAACATAATTAATTAGTTTAACTTGTTTTATTTGGGGTGCTGTTTGTGTCATTAATAAATGCTAAAATAAGATTTATATTTAATATGTACTTACACTAAGTTAAATTTGAGATTAGTTGGACTCACTTTTTAAGTATGTAAAAGTTAACATAAGTTACCATTAATTATGTTAATATTAGATATTTTTAAATGTTAAATGAAATATTGTGTATTATTATACATTGGGGTGGTCCTTATTTTGGGGTATTTTTTATTTTTTTACGATAGTCCTAAATTATCCGAAGTCAAAGAAGAAAAATCATGTATTTTTTTAAATCAAGTTATAGATTTTTTTAAATTGATATGTGAAGTATAAAAAATGTTACTGCTAGATATAACAAATATCTTTAAAAGATTTTTTTTATTTTCTGCTATTTAGCCTAATCAAATTAGTCTTATAAATTATGTAGAGATAAACTTCGTCATTTTAAAATTGCTATACACAGTAAAAAAATATTTGTTAAATTTAACCAAATAATAACCAGATTTTATGTTAATCCAGGTCCACATAACTTTTTGTTAAATTTACAACCAACTGTAATCTGTTAACTAATAGTTTGTAATTATTACAGATATTTTGTAGATTTAATAACAAAATTACATGTCAATTTCAACCATAATTCTTGTATTTTTTACAAACTTTTATGTAGACCCAGTATCAAAAGTATTTGTTGTAAATTGGGAACTTTAAAAAGGAGAATTAGAATAAATGAACACAAAAATAACATACACAAAATTAAATAACACACCATTCTGAAGACATCGAATTATATAGAAATTTGGTACAATCAGTACACTTACTGATATACTTTAACCTCACTATATCGCCTAATTTTAATTTAAAAACCAATAATAACATTATAAACACTCCTGTCACCGTTAAATATTATAAACACCCGTTGACGCTGACACAACTTGTTGATAGGTGTGGTGTGCTTGGAGATGTTTTGATTGGCTGCCTGAAATCACGTGTACTTTTTCAAAGGAATAATTTGTTAAACATTAACAAAATAATCTGTAACCTTTGAAATTAACAAAATGCTTACAAAATTGCATTTTACCTTAACAAAACTTTCAGTAAAATATTTTCCTTTGTTAAAATAATTACAATCCCGGGTTGTATACAAAAAATTTTGTAAAATTTTTACAAAATAAAATTAACTAACTACAAACTCATGATAGCAAATCTTATTTTAATAACAGTGTAATGACGTTAGTTTGCAATGATTTAGCTTTGTTGGGTTTCCTCTTAACCCATTTAGGATATCATTATATTTTAGGATTCTTTTGAAATTAAAAAAATGGCATTTAAGTTTTGAAGGCACAGCATCTCGAGCTTTTTCACGACGTCGACATTTTTGTCAACATGAACGGCGACATCCTCGTATGCCTTTATAGTAATTTAATACAAAATCTATCAAAATGTAACCTTTTTAATATTTAGGTTAACAAACAATTGATATTGTATATATTTACTTTACAGAATAATCTAATAAATAATTTATATATTATAATCATAACTGATTATTTAATTAAAAATTTAATTAAAATTAAACTAATAGAAGATTGATTTAGGCACGATTACACCTATATCTAAAAAACCCATACCAATTAAAATTAAATCTGAAATACAACGCCATTAGCAATCGTTTTATTTTGGTTTTATATGATTAACACAAAACTTCGTATAGTAAAACAACGCCACCGTAAACACTTTAGCAGTAATTAGACAAAGCAATTAGTTTCACGAAGACGACTGCTTTAAATTCAAACAGGAATTCTATTTAGTATTATTTAATTAATACGGGTGTAAGGTTTCGTTCCTTTCGTCCTTTATACATTTCTGCAGTTTCGGCAGGTAAGTACTTTACAATCGTACCGGCAAAGACTGTGTATACCATTTATTCTCTTTGGGATAGGTAATAATAATAATTTATTTCTGCTAAATATCAAATATAAAAAAGTTTGTTAAATCATGCAATAAGTAAAATAATTCTAAAAATCTAATCCAAAAATGATTTAAATTGAATACTTGTATAGAGCGACATCTATGAAACAATAGAATTACCAACTTGAAAATGAGTTTCATGTCAAATGTCAATTTTTTGTGTAAATCAAAATGTATCGCTTGAAAATAAACCGTTTAATCGGATATAGAAATAGTTTTTTACAGTGAAAGTAAATAAAATGTTTTATTGGCACTCCACAGAGGAGTCTTTACCCGAAATGAAGTTAATGTAGTTTACTGCCAGATAAATTAAAAGTAAGTAAAATGTTTATATAAATTTTCAAATATTGGCGCTAGGAAAATATTTAATACTTTTGTATTTTTTTGTTGAGATAATAAAATAATTTTTATATTTAATATTATTTTACAAGAAGAGCACTTTATTTTAACGATTGTATGACTTTTGAGAACAGTCAACTAACTTAAAACTAACTTCAGCCCGTGACTAAAAGCCTATAAAACCACAACGTCAATGTGTATTTAAAAGGTCAATTTGTGTCATGGAAATATGTACGATAATGGGCGTTTTAAAGGTGGGAGTAGAAAAAATATATTATTAAATTAATAAATTAAAAGAATATGTAATTATACCTCGTTGGAATATTTGTGTCATACCACCATTTATAACATATAAAACAACAAAAGTAATAAAGCAATAATGAATAATCAAATTATAAGCGCATAATTAATTTTACTATTAATTTATAATAGCCCAGTTACTAATTATATTACTTTAATTTAATAATGCAATATTGTTATGAATAGCCGTGGAAAATATTAATTATGATAAATGTTTAAATGTAATAAATAAGTATAA